CCGCTCCCGCACCTCTCCTCCCCGCCCCGCGCCCGGCTGGCCTCGGGGCTGCCTTCTCCGCTGCACGGAGCATCTCGAGGACGGAGGAATAAACTTCTCCCCGAGCGCGGACCCGGCGGCTGGTGGCCCCTTGTCACCGTGGAAGCAGAGAGAGGAGTCGGGAGAGGTCACGTTCGGGAAGAGCCTAGGAAAGTGCTCGGAGACCACTGTTGGAGGTTATTGTGTTTGGGGAGAAAAAAAAAATGCATCTGCAGCCGAGTTCCTGACGGCTCCCCTCCCCCAGGCCTGGCTGTGACATTGCCGTGGCCACAAAGGAGGAGGTAGGGACGGGGGTGGAAGAACAGGTGGCCCACACCCTGCAGTGGACAGCCCCTGACTTCAGGAAAAAAGTTCATCCCAGGAGGTCTGCTCTGCTCTGCTTTGTCAAGTTAAAAACACAACGCAGAAAACCCGCAGAGCAGCAGCGGGCTGTTCCCTTGTGCAGACAGTAGTAGGGAGCACCGTCCTCCAAGTTTAATTGACCGGCTCTTGTCCTTTCCCTTACCTCTTCGATGTTACCCGCGTCCTGGCAGGTTTGACCCTCATCCCAAGAGGTAGTACTCTCAAACGGCACTCAAAAATTTTTTGCCTTAAAACAGCTACAGGAGGAGTTCATTGTAGCAATCTTCCTTCCAGCCAGCTGCCTGGAATACCCTAAGGCAGGTGCATGCTGAAGTCCTAAATGAACCTTATATCTTAATGTCCATCAAAACAAGGGGTTAAAAACGGAGAGGTGTTTTCTCCTTTTTACCCAATGTTACATTTGTAATGGAAACATTCATTTAGAAAGAAATGGTAAAGGTGCAGAATCTGTTCCTAACAGTCATCTCAGAATCAACCATAGGAGAGATGTCAGTCTTAGGCCCCAAGTGCCGACTCCAACAGAGACACCCAGCATGGTTGATAGCAGTGCCGCTGGCTTTGAGACTAGCCATCCGCAGGCATACTTGGTTTTAAAGGTAGGAGATGAGATGATAAATAAAAGTGATTTTTTTTCTTCCCTTGACTAGATCTTGTGCTCTGATCACATTTCCACCCCTTGCTAGCTTTTGTAGCTTTGGGTGAGGGGGCTCCTTCTGGCATGTGATCTTCGGTAAGCTTCCTTGGGAACCCAGTTTTCTCTCATGGACTTAAATATTACTTGACTTTATAATACAGTTAAAGGAGTCCCCCTTCCCCAGAAACAACCACTCATCAACAAGTAGACCAGAAGGTGTGTTTCAGGGTTCACATGTCTATAAAATTAAGCTCTAATCCAGTCTCTGTCCACGGGATCTCCTAGGCTAGCAAACTTTTTTGGTGTAAGGATCCCTTTATATTCTTAAAAGTTATTGGAGATCCCAGCGTGTGGTATGTCAATATTTACCATCACAGAAACAAAAACGGAGACTTTTAAACAGTTCTTAATTCATTTAAAAATAGAAACAAGAAGCCCATTACTTGGTAACATAAATAGCTTTTTTTAACTAAAAATAATTTTTTCAAAACAAAAACAAAAGTTAGTGAGAAGGGTGGCATTGTTTAACACGTTTGCAAATCTTGATTATATGACACTAGGAGATATCTGGATCCTCATACCTGCTTCTGCATTCAGAGCACACATCTGGGAAACCACCATACACTTGTGAAAGAACAAGAGTGGAAGGGGTAACTGATAATGTAGGATTTTTATGAAAATCGTTTTTAACCTCTTGGACCCTCTTCCCCCCCCCAAAGCCTTGGGAAGCCTAATGGGTTCCTGGACCACTTTTGGAGAGCTAGGTTATCCGAATTATTTTGCAGGGTTTGGTGGGCAGGGATACATTATGGTGTGATTGTCCTCACCTATTCCATTTGCTATAGTCTGTATTTGGAATAAAAAGTGGGAGCAAACAGAATGAGATACATGTTTGAAGTGGCTCCCACGGTGGCCCTAGACAAGAGCAAGTAAGGCTATGGTGGCACTGCGCAGGCCAGGGATCTATAATATAACAGTCTCTGATAACAACAGTTGCCTAGCCTGTATGCTCTCTGTGGGAGGGCTCAGGAATAGGGTAAGGAGGTGGTTAGTATATTATCATTTGGAAAACCATATTTTATTTTCCTGTGACTATTGGTGGATAATTTTTGGCTTTCAGTAAATAGGATGCTGTTTGTATATAGTGTTTATATCTGCACATTCATTAAGTCCCCTCGACTTATAATAAATTGTGCATTTACTGCCATTCTTTCCATGGTTCCTTATTTGTAATAATATCATGTAGTTATTGAGGGAGAGAAGATAAAATTAAATTCATTTTATTTCAAAAAGTTTGAAACAACTGACTAAAAATATTTTCTGTCTTGTACTGATAGCCTTACAAATTATCAATATTTATTGCAACTGTTGGGAGATGAGATGCAAAGAGTAAAAGTCATGTGGATTCCTGAGAACTATTCACTCACATCTTTTAAAAAATTTCTTATTAAAAGCAGTGCTTATTTTTAAATTTTATATAATTATATTTTTTCTTGTGCAAAGTACTATTTTTCAGCACTAATATAGATTTATATGTCATGATTGATGATTAAATCAACTGTGCTTAATATTTCAAAATTCTCAAAGTTCTCTTAGTTTTTATACCATTATTTTTCCCAGCAGATATTTTACAGATTAAATTGTTCATCAATTATTGTCTTGCCCTAGTCGGTTTGACTCAATGGATAAAGCGTCAGCCTGCAGATTGAAGGGTCCTGGGTTTGATTCCGGTTAAGGGCACATGCCCCAGCTTGCAGGCTCCATCCCCAGTAGGGGGTGTGCAGGAGGCAGCCGATCAATGATTCTCTCTCATCATTGATGTTTCCTTTCTCTCCGTCTCCCTTCCTCTCTGAAATCAATATATATTATTTTAGTTCTCAATTTTATTTCCTTAATTATTTTTAACTGATTTTTATATTCTCACTTTTTATTTTCTCACTATACAGTGAGATTTATTTGACAATTCTTCCACCCCCTTCCACTCCCACCCCACTGTCTGATTCTTTCTAACTACTCAGGAGAACTATATGATGATTCTTTTTAAAAGTTTTCTATAGCTCTTGGCTCCAACAAAGACACTCTGCATATCCACTTGTAACTCTTAGGGGCCATAGCCAACTAGGAGAGATAGCTGTCAACAGTTTTATGTGGGTGTGTCCACAGGGTATAGAGCGTTCTGCTAGACACTTGTACTAAGTAAAGTCATGGCATGTTCCTTTGAGAGCCATTAACTGCTATAGAACAGCAGACTGGCTGTTTAGATAGAACAACCTGAATATATGATAAAAGAACTTTGTACTCTGAATGCATCTTTCTGAAATGTTGAATGGGCGAGTTTGTAAATATAGTGTGATTCATTACAATACACATCCGTACTCAACTGAAGTTTTTATTGAATTTTGTGAGATATTTTGAAATAATTTTCCATATAAAGGTGAGTTTGTGTTAAAAGGTATTGATAGAGTGTTTGGCTTCTATTAAACTCATGTGTGACACTTGTTCTAATTTAGTTACATTTTCATTATTTTTATTATAAGGCCTGCTGAAAATGACTGAATATAAACTTGTGGTAGTTGGAGCTGGTGGCGTAGGCAAGAGTGCCTTGACGATACAGCTAATTCAGAATCACTTTGTGGATGAATATGATCCTACAATAGAGGTAAATCTTGTTTTAATATTATGCATATTGATTTGTGCAGGCCCATCCTTTGAGTACAAAAAAAGTTGCATTATAACACAATTATACTGAAAATAATTTTATTAAGTTATCAGAAATATATTTAGGCTTTAAAGCTTTACTCTGAAGTTATACATAACCATAGATATGGAGAGCCCTTCTTCTCTTGGGAAATCTCAAGTTTCATGACATTCCTTCTGTGTTTGTATGTGTGCATTTCAGAGTTTTGTGAGAGTGAAATGTGAATATACATTTTACCTATACCTAACAGTCATTTAAAAAAAATGTGGCTATTATTTTTATGGGTTTTTTTGTTTTGTTATTTTGATGTCACATACTAGATTTGAATTGTACTGGTGAAGTATAATCATTTGAAGGCTGA